CAACCAGGATGGTGGACACTATCACCCAATTAAACTTACCAAGGCGATTGAGAAGGAGATTGGCAAAATCAAATTTGCAAGATTTTTGAACAATAAACGAATACTGATACATGCAAGCAGCAAACAACAACAAGAAAAGATTCTTAGTATGTCCACACTTCAAGGGGAAAGGATGAAGGCCCACATCCCAGGAGCAACAGCAAAGGTTAGAGGAGTTATATCAGGAGTCCCTTTGAATATGTCAATGGAAGGTGTTAAAAATGAGATTCAGGGAGGCAAAGCAGTTGAGGCTACTAGACTAAAAAGCAAACGAGATGGATCATTAAAAGACACACTATCTGTGGTTGTGCAATTTGAGAGAACCCTCCCTAAGTCAGTCCAAATGGGATACATAAATTACAGCGTGAGAGAATACATCCCTCCCTCTATCAGATGCTATAAATGTCAAAGGATGGGGCACACAGCTCAGCAGTGCAAAGGAAAGCTAAGGTGTGCTAGATGTGGGGGCCAGCACGAGTATGGGAAATGTGAAAAGGATGCAAAGATTAAATGTTGTAACTGTGGAGGAGAGCATAGTGCTGCATTTGGTGGATGTGAAGTGCAAAGAGAAGCCAGAGAAGCCCAAAAGGTGAAGATATTGAACAAAGTATCATATGCAGAAGCTCTAAAGAAAATAAGAGAAACAGGATCAAATAACAAAAACTCCAGTGGAATTGTCCAAAAAAACACAACACCAGTTAATCAGACACAAAACCAGATTCCAGCACACACACAGAATGGTTGCGAGCATAAATGTAAAGTTGACGATGATACGTTGATAGTGAAAAAAGTGAACTTTGTGGGTTTCATATGTCACACCAACAATGTTGCGTCCCAGTTGAAAAAGAAAAGTGACAGAATTAAAGCTATTGTAGAAGCAGCAGGAAAACTTCTTGATATGAAAGATATCAAAGCAGATCAAATACATGCATTGTTGACAGTAACTGAAAATGGAAATACACAAACTGAGGGTTAGGACACTAATGGTTCTTCACATACTACAGTGGAACGCAAGAAGTCTTATAGCTAATGGTCAAGAATTCAAAAAGTACATTCATGAATTAGATGTTGTTCCAGATGCAATATGTGTACAAGAAACTTGGTTATGAGACAGACTAGATTATGTGATACCAGGGTTTAGCTCTATAAGGTACGATAGACCTAACAACCAAACTGGTGGAGGGTGCATCACCTTTATCAAGGATGGGTTGGCCTACAGGGAATCCCCAAGCTCAGAAGATTCAGAATGTATAATAGTTGAAATCTATAGCCCAAGGAAAGAGGGAAACATTAAATTGATTAATTTCCATAACCCATGCAAAAAATTAGATATCAATAAACTTAATGAAATGGCAGGGACTGTATACAGGAAAGAAATATGGTGTGGGGACTTCAATGCACACAACAGCCTATGGGGCAGCAATCACACAGATAATAATGGGGACATAATTGAAGAAATGATGGAAGAAAGATCACTGGTCTGCATTAATAATGGACAGGGAACACGAATGGATGTGGATAGGGGTAAAACATCATGTTTAGATATCACACTGGTATCAGATAATTTGGTAAGCGCATGTGAATGGTTTGTTATGAATGATTCTACCATAGGAAGTGACCATTTTCCAGTTCTCACTATTATTAACACAAATGTATGTTTCCAAGAAGGAAGTACAATTAACAGATGGTGCTCTGAGAAAGCAGACTGGGAAAAATTTAGGTTATGTTGTACGAAGTCAGCAAACCTTTTGACGTTAGAAGGTGATGTAGAGGAATGCACAAAGCAAATTACAGAACACATTATAAATGCAGCACATTTAAGTATTCCAAAAAGAACAACAAAGGGCAGGAAGAAAGTGGTCCCCTGGTGGAATGAAGAGTATAGCAGAGCTGTAAAAGAACGAAACAAAGCCTTTAAAACATTAAAGAAGAATTTATCACAAGAGAGTGTTTTGTTTTTCAAAGGAAAAGGGCAGTGGCACGTAGGACAATTAAGTTAACCAAAAAGAAAAATCGGAGAGAGTTCTGTTCCACCATAGGTAGAGGTGTAGAGTTAGGGGATATATGGTCTATGTTTGAAAGAATGAGTGGGAAAAGGAAAGCGATTAAAATCCCAGCTTTGATAGATGGAGGAAAGACGGTGGTGTCAGACAAAGAAAAGACAGAGACGTTGGGTAGGGCTTTTGCGGCTGTGCATAGTGGTGATCACCTTATGGATATACATAAGCAACAGAAAGACCTGGCACTCAGAGAAAATAAGGACGTGAAGCTGAAGAGGGAGGATGGTACAACAACTTTAGATGTGGATTTTACAATAACAGAACTCAATATAGCTCTGCTTGGCACGGGATATACAGCCCCAGGACAAGACCAGTTATGTTATGCCATGTTCCGACAACTGCCAGTAGGGTCAATTAAGCTAGTGTTAAGACTGTTCAATAATATATGGAAGGATGGAATAATACCGAGAAGCTGGAAAAGTGCAGTTATACTACCGTTTAGCAAACCTGGTAAAGACCCAACCAATCCTGGTAATTATAGACCCATAGCTCTGACATCTCACTTATGCAAATAGATGGAGAGGATAATAGTTCGTAGGTTATCACATGTAATGGAACAGAGAGGACTACTGATTAATATACAAAATGGATTTCGGAAAGGGCGCTCCACAACAGATGCTCTCATTAGAGTAAGTAATGAGGTAGAAAAGGCACTGAAAATGAAAGAGCTGATGATAATAGTGTATTTTGACATTGAGAAGGCATATGATACTATGTGGAGGGAAGGACTACTTATTAAACTAAATAGAATGGGTTTAAGGAAGGATTTATAACTGGATACTAGACTTTTTAACAGATAGGAAAATTAGAGTAAAGGTTGGATCAGAAATTTCTACAGAGTTTAAGGTAAATAATGGCATTCCCCAAGGGAGCACAATTAGCCCTATATTATTCAACATTATGATTAATGATATATTTTCAGATTTAGATGGACACATCAAATCAGCGTTATATGCAGATGATGGGGCCATATGGATGAGAGGAAGAAATGAGACATATGTGTTAGAGAACATTAGGAAAGCAATAGGGAAAGTAGAGAAGTGGTCATTCAAGTGGGGATTTAAAATATCAACAAGCAAATCCTGTTATATGGTGTTCACAAACAAGCGAAAGTGTCATGTAGAAAAGCTTTTTCTATATCAGCAGCCAATGGAAAAAGTAAATGAATTTAAGTATTTGGGATTGTGGTTTGATAGTAAGTACACATGGAAAACACACATAAAGCAATTGGAAACTAAATGCAAACAAGTTATTAATTTACTGAGAGCGGTGGCGGGATGCGACTGGGGTGCAGATAAACAGTCACTAATTGACATATATAGAGCATGCATGAGGTCATCAATAGATTATGGTTTCATAGTATATGATGCAGCAGCAAAAACAACATTGGAAAAAATTTATAAATTACAATACAGAGCCTTACGGATATGCATTGGAGCCATTAAGACAACTCCCATTAACACAATACTCATAGAAGCTGGAGAGACACCACTGGAGTTAAGAAGAGAGAAACTAGCACTAGCATATTGGGTCAGATTGAAAGGAAGTGGGAAAGAAAACCCTGCAAGGAGATAACAAAAGATTATTGGGAATATTTCAAGTTTCGGGGGCATGGGTTTGGATGGACGGGGGAAAAGAGAGTCAGGGAATACGGAATGGAAGCATTAGATTTCACCACACGCAATCCAGTCAGTAACATTCCACCGTGGCTCTATCCAGATGTAAAAACAGATTTTAGTATACTGGAAAAGAAAAGAGGATGGGGAATAGAGGAAGTGGGAATACGGACTAGCAGCTATCTGAGAAACAGTTTCCATAATTATCTAAAAATCTACACAGATGGATCTAAAAATAAACAGGAATGTGTGGGAATTGGAATACATATACCAGAATTCAAAATAAATATCTCAAAACAATTATCAGATAGGCTATCCGTATATACGGCAGAAATAGTGGCAGTCATCATAGCATTACAGTGGGTTGAAGAGGTCAGACCTGATAGGGTGATATTATGCACAGACTCCTTAGCAGTTATTAAAAGAATTCAGTCAATGACATCTGTCAGAGAAGACCTACTGATAGAAATGTTTCACAGCTTATTAAGATTACATCGGGGAGGGATAGATGTTCAGTTTTGCTGGGTGCCAGCTCATGAGGGAGTAAATGGAAATGAGATTGCAGACAAACTAGCAAAAGAGGCATTACAAAAGGAAATAACAGTTCAAATACCTCTAGGAAAAGGAGAAGGAAAAATAGCCATTAAGAAGAAAGGTACTGAAATATGGCAGAAATGGTGGGAGGAAGACAGGAAAGGAAGGAGTTACTTTAAAATACAAAAGTCTGTCAGTAATAAAAATTACAGCGAAAGGACCAGGCGGGAGGAAATTATTATGACAAGACTAAGAGTAGATCACACAGGACTGAATGGCACCTTGGTTTTATTGGGGAAAAGGAATAGTGAAAAGTGTGAAAACTGTGGGATTAAAGAAAATGTTGAACATCATTTTGCACTGCATATTGTTTGAGTTGGAAAGACAGATATTTCAAGATAGGGTTCAGGAAGCAGGGCGAGAATGGAATCTGATGGGGGCATTGGGAACAGAAGGAGAAGAAAAGGGGATAAGAATCACCAGGAAGGCATTATTTAAATTTCTTAAAGACACTGGGTTGGTGAACAGAATATGAGAGCACCTTATTGAGGTTGATAGCTGAGTGATATGATTTTACACACACCAGTACAGCAGGTGGCGGTATGCACTGCAAAGGTGTTTGCAATCCGCCATTAACGAAGAAGAAGAAGAAGAAGAAGAAGAAGAAGAAGAAGAAGAAGACTGTAGACTGTAGACTGTCGCTATCACCAGTGGGAGGCAGCAATGCACTAACAGTGCCTAGTCTGCCGGAAAGGAACAGAAGAAGAAGAAGAAGAAGCTGAAGAAGAAGAAGAAGAAGAAGAAGAATCCATGATGTTTTCCTGGGTGGATGGCCTGCACTGGATTTAACCTGTCAAAACTGCATTCCAACAGGGCAGCGTGGGATTAACTCAGTGAAATGTGCGTTCAGTGTTGTTGTTATAACGTTATCATTAAATATCAAATAGATCGGATTACGAGATAAACTGAGGACCCTGTAACATTAACTCATTGCTAAGAATAACGTTAGGTCTCTCACTACTAACGTTAACTTACCTCGCTAAGTATTAGCAAGGACACATCAGTAACGTTAACCTACAAGGAGGCAATATGTTCGTTAATGTAAGACAATATGTTACGTTTTTAATAATAAACAAATATTGTCCGTTTTGTTTGTTTGCATTCGTTAGTGACATTAACTCGACGGCAACGTTACAGTGGTATCTTGAACGTGGAACTCACCTAAAAGTGTAAAGTTAGTGTATAGAAAGTGTCTTTCAGGATGTAAAACACTAACGATAACTTAATGTGTGATATTAGGTTTTAACATTAATGAGCAAAGTCACTTCTAACTTAGATAACATGTAAGTTATGTAACGTTATAACTTAGCTAAGTTATTTGAAATTCAGAAATGATGAATTGGTATTAATATCAAAGTTCAGGCGCACGGTAAATAGCTAACGTTAGGTTTATAATAAATACATTTATCGCTGTTAGCATACAGCTAACTACTGCTAACTAACGTTAAACAGCAACCTAGCTAACAGCCAACAAAAACAACAGTGAGGTTAACGTTAGCTTAATAACGCTCCTGTGGTATGATTGGTAAATCCGGATTTTGAACTAGATTTGCTAATACTTAACTGAGCCATTATGTTTAATTAAGTGTTAATTTAACGTTAGACATTCGTTATAAATATAGCTAGCACTTTATTCTCCACGTTAGCCTTGTTCGGTGGCCAGACGGGGAAAGTACCGTTCTCGGACTGTATGTAAAAACGCTTTTTGGTTTTCCAGAGGAGCTTTAATGCAACAGTGAATATGTTATACATGCTTAATGTAACGTTAGGATGACAGGAATACCAGCATATACTAAATGCACTGGTGGACGCTAACTAAGTAGTACTAGTAGTAAGTAAGTAACATTTATTCAAGTACTGTCAATTTAAGTTATTTTTTTCATGCCACTTTCTACTTCTACTGCACTCCATTTCAGAGGGAAATGTACTTTTTTCAGCACTACATTTTTCCTACAGCTTCAGTTACTTGTAAATGTAAATGCTCCGTATTTCCGTACTAGTCTCGACCACTCAAAGCGCTTTTTACACTACATCTGCATTCACCAGTCATATACATTCATACACTGAGCCTAAGTGCTCAAACGGAAACTAACATTCACACACATTCAAAATCGGCGTTCAGTATCTTGCCCAAGGACACTTCGACACACAAGTGTCAAGGAGCCAGGGATTGAACCGCCGACCTTACGATTAACGGCCAACCCGCTCAAACCCCTGAGCCACAGCCGATTTATCGGATTATTTATTAATCAATTTAAGGTTTTGACTGTTGTTTGGACAAAAGGTGTCACTTGGTCTCTGGGTATCTGTGACGGCATTTTTCACCATTTTCAGAATTTTTACAAACCAAAAAATCACTGGATTAATGGAGAAAATATTCTTTAGCTGCAGTCCCATACAAAACCGATCAATTGAGCTCCAGCTCAACAGCAGTAATGTCCTGCTTTGAGGAATAATAATCTGATGGTATAATATGTAATAGTATAACAGTCATAGGGGGCATTTTTTGCAAAGTACTTTTAATATAAAGTATATGTAAGTACATTTTCCTGATTATGGACATTTATTTGTATTTTTACAGTGTGGTATTAGTACTTTTACTTTACCAAATTATTTGAATACTTTGTCTGCTTTACAATGTGTTCTGTGTCTGTGGAAACTAAATGCTTATTCAGAGGTGAGTGTTTTTCTCATGTGCAGCTAAGTTAGGCAGAAGGCGTGACTGGCTTCACATTTTGATGTTTCTGAATAGTTTGAGTAACTAACATAGGAGTTGTTTGGTCCATATGCTCCGTGGACAGCAGACTTAAGCTTTAGTTAACACTAGTTGCCACCTTTCGAACATTCACCATAACTAACTAAAATGAAGATATTTTAATACTTGATTGTAAAAAAACGCAAATATTTGAATACATCCCCTTGGGCTTTCAGAGAGGGTGATAGACATTTTTCACCATATTTTTGACATTTTATAGACTAGGAAAATATTAATTGATGAGTCAAAAAAAATCACATATAAATCTACAATGAAAATGAGAGTTAGTTGCAGCCCTGTGTGGTGTTATACTGTTTTAACGAGATGTCTATGAAGATTCTCAGTCAACCAGGTCATAGTTATCCAACGAAGGTTAAAATCAAGGGCAACTGGACTTGGTTGAAGATCTTCAACCAAGTCCTGTTTTAACATCATTAGTTCATATGGGGACAGACAGCTAAGTGTATGTTTTAAATTGGTTTTTAAAAGGTCTTAAAAGTACAGTGGTGCTTTGCGGGGCACTTGTTGAAATCTGACCAGCCATTACAGTAAGCCTATATCCTGATACTGTCTTTGTAGATCAGTAATCATTTTAAAAGATTCTTGACTGTTTGAAATTTAACTAAAACGATTGACTGTAGCTCTGGAAGTAAAGACTACTGAATATCTTCTGTAACTACTAGTGACTGTCTAAAGTACTTTGTTACTCTGTTACACCATTTATTTTTGTTTTGTTCTGTTTGAAAATGAAATGGTCCTATTTCCTTTGTTGTGCTTGTTTTATTCAGCAGGTGCTGTTCAGATTTTGTAACTGACTGAGACTTATACGGCCTAGAGAGAAATCCACTGCTCCCCTCCCCGACCTCCTGTTCCTCTTACCATGAATGAAGTTAATATAGTCAGAGAGGGCTGGCTTCACAAAAGAGGTAAGGCACATGCTGATCAGTAAGGTATTTTCATGCTGATAATAATTCATAGTGAAAGAAAGGCTTGGCACCAATCCTATCAGTCAGTCAGATTAAGCTAAAGGCTTCATCTTAAAATGCCAAACGATGTTCCTATTGATTAAATGTACTTAAAATTTAAATTTTCATTTCTTTTTTTCTATCCCAGGTGAATATATCAAAACATGGAGGCCCAGGTATTTCATCCTGAAGAGTGATGGTTCCTTCATCGGTTACAAGGAGAAGCCTGATCTAAACGACCAAACGTCACCACCACTCAACAACTTCTCAGTGGCAGGTCAGTCTTACAGACACTAAAACATTACCACTCTTTCCCTCACATAGACTTACTTAGGCGGGCCGCCCAGGTACTGTCCCCTCCAAAAGTATTGGAATGGTAAGGCAAATTCCTTTGTTTTTGTTGTTCACTGAAGACATTTGGGTTTAAGGTCTAAAGATGAGACAAGAGTTCAGAATTTCAGCTTTTATTTCCTGGTATTCACATCTAGATGTGTTAAACAACTCAGTCACCCTTTGTTTTGTTGTTTGAAAACAAAACTATTGGAACATGTGACTGACAGATGTTTCTTGTTGCCCAGGTGTTGCCTTTGTATTAGACCACAGCATTCTTAGGTGAGCAAAAGTAATGGAACAAATAATGTTTAAGTAAATAACATTTAATATTTGGTGGCATAACCCTTGCTTGCAATAACTGCCTCAAGCCTGCGACCCATCGACATCACCAAACTGTTGCATTCTTCATTTGTGATGCTACTCCAGGCTTTTACCGCAGCTTCTTTCAGTTCTGTTTTGTTTCGGGTGTTTCTCCCTTCAGTCTCCTCTTAAGGAGGTGAAATGCAGCTCTATTGGGTTAAGGTCAGGAAGACTGACTTGGCCAGTCTAAAACCTTCCACGTTTTCGCCCTGATGAAGTCCTTTGTTTAGTTGGCAGTGTGCTTTGGGTCATTGTCCTGCTGCATGATAAACTTCCTCCCCATTAGTTTCAATGCATTTCTCCGTAAATTGACAGACAAAATCTTTCTGTCCACTTCAGAATTCATTCTGCTGCTACCATCATCAGTTCCATCATCAATAAATATTAATGAGCCTGTTCCAGAAGCAGCCATGCACGCCCAAGCCATGACATTACCTCCACCAGGCTTCACAGATGAGATTGGATGCTTCGGATCATAAGCAGTTCCTTTCTTTCTCCACACTTTGCTAGAGATTAATCTTGGTCTCATCAGTCCATAAGATTGTGTTCCAGAACTTTTGCGGCTCATCTCTCTCTCATCAAATTTCAATCTGGCCTTCCGATTCTTGCTGCTGATGAGTGGTTTGCATCTTGTGGTGTGGCCTCTATATTTCTGCTCTCTGAGTCTTCTTCCAACAGTGGATTGTGATACCTTCACCCCTGCACTGTGGAGGTCGTTGCTGATGTCACTTCCTGATGTTTTGGGGGTTTTCTTCACAGCTCTCACCATATTTCTGTCATCATCTACTGTTGTTTTCCTTGGCCGACCTGTTCGATGTCTGTTGCTCAGTAGTTTCTTTCTTTTTCAGGACATTCCAAATTGTTGTGCTTGCTATGCCCAATGTTTGTTCAATGGCTCTGGTCGATTTTCCTTCTTTTCTCAGCTTGACAATGGCTTGCTTTTCTCCCATAGACAGCTCTCTGGTCTTCATGTTGGTTTATCCTCTTTAACAGGAAATGCAGTCTTTATAGGTTTGACAGGGTGTCCGCGGGGTCTTAAAACGTCTTAAAAGGTAATGAATCAATTTTGCGAAAATTAAGGCCATTGAAAATTATTAAAAAGTCTTAATCTCCAACAAGGTTTAAATTTTGAAGATATTTTTTTCAATATGAAAATCCTGTTTGTCCAAAAGTTTGTTTGCTAAAAGTGTAGGTGAACTTATATATTCATAATGCATAGCCAAAAATACTAGACAGGCAGTGAGTAGTGACTGTGTGATTAGTTTCTGTAACGTTAGGCGCAGGGATCTACCGAGCGCCTATTTCACTCTTAAACGCTCCAAAAATAGATCCGTGTGAACCGGAAATGATTTACGAGTACAACTGACCATAATCTCCCACCCCGCCGGACCCTCAATGCTAAATGTTCAAAACATAGTCGGAGTGGCAATCAGGAGTAACGGGATTAACCCGGTCGCTCTGTGGCCACTTGAACAGCTCCGTTCCTGGAAAACAAGTGTGAGACACGCCGCCAGCAGCTGAATCAGTAAGACAGAAGACAACAGGGAAAATTCAAGGAGCATGTGGGTTTGGCTAATGTTAGCTGGCTCTTTAGCTAAATCGGTGCCTTTTATTGAAACAATTGGTATACACTCACCTAAAGGATTATTAGGAACACCTGTTCAATTTCTCATTAATGCAATTATCTAATCAACCAATCAGATGGCAGTTGCTTCAATGCATTTAGGGGTTTGGTCCTGGTCAAGACAATCTCCTGAACTCCAAACTGAATGTCAGAATGGGAAAGAAAGGTGATTTAAGCAATTTTGAGCGTGGCATGGTTGTTGGTGCCAGACGGGCCGGTCTGAGTATTTCACAATCTGCTCAGTTACTGGGATTTTCACGCACAACCATTTCTAGGGTTTACAAAGAATGATGTGAAAAGGGAAAAACATCCAGTATGCGGCAGTCCTGTGGGCGAAAATGCCTTGTTGATGCCGGGTACCACTCATCTCCACTACAAATAGGAAAAAGAGGCTACAATTTGCAAGAGCTCACCAAAATTGGACAGCTGAAGACTGGAAAAATGTTGCCTGCTCTGATGAGTCTCGATTTCTGTAGAGACATTCAGATGGTAGAGTCAGAATTTGGCGTGAACAGAATGAGAACATGGATCCATCATACCTTGTTACCACTGTGCAGGCTGGTGGTGGTGGTGTAATGGTGTGGGGGATGTTTTCTTGGCACACTTTAGGCCCCTTATTGCCAATTGGGCATCGTTTAAATGCCGCGGCCTACCTGAGCATTGTTTCTGACCATGTCCATCCCTTTATGGCCACCATGTACCCATCCTCTGATGGCTACTTCCAGCAGGATAATGCACCGTGTCACAAAGCTCGAATCATTTCAAATTGGTTTCTTGAACATGACAATGAGTTCACTGTACTAAAATGGCCCCCACAGTCACCAAATCTCAACCCAATAGAGCATCTTTGGGATGTGGTGGAACGGGAGCTTCGTGCCCTGGATGTGCATCCCACAAATCTCCATCAACTGCAAGATGCTATCCTATCAATATGGGCCAACATTTCTAAAGAATGCTTTCAGCACCTTGTTGAATCAATGCCACGTAGAATTAAGGCAGTTCTGAAGGTGAAAGGGGGTCAAACACAGTATTAGTATGGTGTTCCTAATAATCCTTTAGGTGAGTGTATATGTCAGAGGGCACACGCCTCTGGAGCAACTAGGGGTTAAGTGTCTTGCTCAGGGACACAATGGTGGATGGGTCACAGTGAGGAATTGAACATGGGTCTCTCACACCAAAGGCATGTGTCACATCCACTGCGCCATCACCACCCCCGTACTAGTGGTAAGTTATATACTATTATTGAAATTAAACTAATAAACTATTAAACTATTGAAATTATATTGAACATAATGAATATATTAATATCAAACTTACAGTTTACTATTAAATAAACAATATACTTTTAATTTAGTGTTATAATATTATACTAATACAGTCATTTAGACCAGTTCCTCCTCCAGGTTGTGCCTGTGCTGCACCGCCTACACTACTTACGTTATTCATCACTCAGTTGATTCTCTTCATCTTTGTTCCCTCCTGGCCTATTTGAATTTTGTTGTATTGGTCAATGAAAGTTATCACACATATCTTTGCAGGCAAGCTCACATTATCTAGTTTAAACCAACTAAAACACAAAATGACACTGTGTTGCGTACATAAACGGCATAGCTTACGTAAGACAGTGGCTTATTGCAGGAAATCTGACCTTCACATAGAAAAAGGTTAGCCCACACAGGCTGTTATAGGCAACTGAGAAAGTTGGTGAATGCCTCAATTTTTAGGTGGCATTACAACCTGGTGACATATAGGCAATAAATATGTTATAAATATATTTAAATTCCTTTTAAAAACACAAAAATGTCCCTTTTAAAGGTGTGTGGCTGATTTAATCGGTTACAGCTGTAGTGGAACAACGGTGTGGATTTGTGCATTTTATATTAAATAAATTTAGAGCTACTCCAAATTCCTCCGTTTCTCTCCCAGAGAGGCGCAGGGGGTTGGAGATCAACTTTCAACGAACCAGTGATTAGCATTTCCCTGAACAGCCTATCAGAACTGCCACCCCCACACACACACACACGTAACCGTGGCAACTGTCCTTGCTCTGTGTTTTATTACCCCATCAAAGGGACACCCCGGTCTCACCCAAGTTGTGACATAACCCCTTTAAATAACCAAAGACTGCAGTCTCCAAAGACTCAAAGCATTTAATTAAGTTTAATTAAATCTTTAGTTACTTGATTACGTTTGCCTCTATTTGAGTAGTTATGTTAACATGTTGTTGCTATATGTTGTTGATATTAGTGCTGAAAAGAATCTAAATAAGTTACTTGTGCAGTGTTTTTTTATTTTCAGCAAGACACTCCCTCATCTAATGTAATCAATTCTTGTTCATATTACTTTCCTACAAAATTCCTTTAGAAATGATGATAAACAAATGTCTTACTATACTCTTAATCGCCAGCTTGAATTTAAGGATGAATGACGATGAAGGCCGTCGACAAGCCGTAAGACCTAACCAACATTCTGTGGTCAGATATTTCCTTTTAACTCCTAAACTCATAACGTTAGCTTACTTTCATTAGTTCTCCCATGCTGTATGAGTCAAATGCTTCCCACAATCGAACCTTCAGGCTCATTGTGCCGCCATTGTTTGTTTACCCTTTTATATCACATTAGTTAGAGAATACTGTAATATAATCAAGAACTGTGTGTGTTGCCTATTTCTACGTCCCTGCCAAGAGAATTGACCCTTTAGATATGAGACTGACTGATTGATTTAAGATAATTGAGCGATTATTAACTAACTGATCACTAGTAATAATTGTATAATTATTAAAGCTACCTAGAGGTCCGAAGACTCTTGGATTATAACAACTCCGGTGGTGCCCTGGAACAAGGAATAATTTTAGATTTTATGAGTATTAAATTAAAGTCATAATTGGGTATTAATTCTCATAAATTTATTAAAATTCATAACTAATTTAAGCCTGCTACACAGCTCAAAGTTGAAAAAGTCTTGAAAAGGTATTGAATTTTACTTCAGGATTCCTGTGTATACCCATGAAAACTTAGACTAGTCTTGGAGAGATATTTAATGTTTGGACAGTCAACCTAAACCTAAAGGCAACACCTGGGCAACAAGAAACATCTGTCAGTCACATGTTCCAATAGTTTTGTGGGTTCAAACAAAGGGTGGTATGTACAGGGAGAGAGAGACAGGAAGAGGAGGGGCGTGTGTGGGAAGGGAAAGGGAGCAGATTCAATTAGTGAGTAAACACTAAAATACAGTGGAGAATAAAGTAGGAAATGGTGAGATAAGCTAGTTAATGCAGTCTTTTAATTGTGTTTTTCACAGAATGCCAGTTAATGAAGACTGAAAGACCCCGGCCCAACACGTTTGTCATCCGTTGCCTACAGTGGACAACTATCATTGAACGCACCTTTCACGTGGACACCAATGACGAGAGGTAAGCACAGAGTCAAATATTATATCAAGCAAGCTGCCATTTTTCCTCTAGGCTTGTGTCAAACTATGGTGAAAATATTTGAAATTATGCCAACAGATTCTCCAAAACTAGATTTAATGCCTAACAGTTTGTGGGATTTTTGCCTCTCAGAGAGGAGTGGATGCGGGCAATCCAGTCTGTGGCAAATAGTCTGAAGATGAGAGAACAGGAGGAGGAGGAACCAATGGATGTGTTTGGTTCGCCCAGCGAAAGCAGTCTGGAAGAGATGGAGGTGGCTATGTCCAAAAGCTGCCCCAAAGTGGTGAGAGGATCAGTTGTTGGGGAAATGGAATATAGTGATCTCAGTTTTGATCTGATACAAAAGACAGTTTGGCAATGTTTTGTTTTGTCCTTGTGAGGGAATTTGAAAGCACAAACTAGGAAGCAATATTTTGAGGGGCGTTATAGAGGGTACAGTGAGGTTTTTGATAAGTGATTTATTTTTTACTGTAACATTTAGTTCAGAGTAGCAGATTAGCAGTCTGCCTTCAGACCCAGAGAAGCCTTTATTCTGCAGACAGTTTTAAATTATTACTATTATTATCGTTTTAATTGGTGCTGTGTTGACAGCTAAGCAGAACTGGGAGTGAATTGGTTGCCTCATATCGCATGCATTATGAGAGACTATTAGAAGGTGCTTCTTGTTTTTGTATTCTTTTTCTAAACCTCTAACTTTTTTCCTGGTTGCTAGTTTCCACCTGATGAATGCCACCTGTATATGAGGAGGTGCGGATAGTGAGATTCGATCATTAGCATAGGACAGCAGTGGTGGCCGACACAGGACAAAACGTGTCTCTTCTGAGACAGCAGAGTGGCCAGTCAAGAAATGAGGTTTCTTTAGATAGATATATTAAAATTAAAAATGTTTTAAATTTACTTAATTATTCAGTAAAACAAGATATTACTATGAATATTATTGATAATCGTTCATCAATTGTTCAACATAAAACAACAGCAACATCAAGAAAGTGCTAGATGATATCTCATACTCCTGTAATACATTATTTTACAGTAATCAAACATTTTGTTCCATCTTGGGAGTGTTGGCTCATCTGGACTAACATACCAAAGTAAATGAAGAACATCTCATAAACTATCACATCTAGTGCATCAAGTGTGACCACTGACAGATAACAATGTAAGCCTCACTGTTTCTGCACCACAGTCCATTATAAACTACATAATACGTGAAGTTTACAAATGCATTGTCAGGTGAGGATCAAGGCTCCTTTCGCTTTGCTTAATTAGATAAGCATGCAAATCTTACCAAAATGTCATTTTAAATTTTTTGAAATACAACAGAAACATAAAGTAGTACTGGCAGCCATAATTTCAGCTTGTGGTAAAACTGTTCAAAGTTTTTAATGGGCATTTAGCATGTTAATAATCAAATTACACATTTGTGTGCACAGTTGTGAAGCAATAGTCTACAAACAAAGTTGGGCTAACCCCAAATAGTCGAAGATTCGATGTTACGATGGGCGGAGCCTGATTCGACTGTCAATCTCACAGTCGAAGCGTCGCAGCTAAAAAGGATCACGCCAATTTGGCGATATGGGGGTGCTCAATGTCTGATTTTACATATCTACCAGTTTTCTCCCAATAAGTTAATATACAGCCTGTTACAATATACATTTCAATGTTTAATGCTGTAAATAAACATGTAAACAGAAATCAAACTTTCTATAAATGGCGTAGCGTGTGTGTGTAGTGGCAGAAGAGGAACGCTTGCTGAAGAGACTAAGCCCCAGCTTCACTGGTGTTGTACCGAGTTGTCCGCACCTCAGAGGACTTTCGGATAATTTATCAACATTGATGAACCACACAAAAAATATTTTATCGTTTTTAAATAGCTGGCTACTTGGAATAGACCCGCGAGGAACTGTGATGTGCATGCCGTTGTTGGCAGCTTAGCATGCACGCAAAACTCTGCACAAGACCGGTGAATGACAGGCGAGAGAGAGAAAAAAGGGTCTTCAAATAGCCTCAGTTTAGATGGATGTACAGTGTAAATTGAATAAATAGAGACTGCAGCTCTGCAGCTTCATCGTGTTATAACTTCTTCGACGACGAAGATAGAAATGTCCCATTCTAAGATAATAAAAACATAGCGGTTCATTCTGTAAGGTATACACCACTGAAAACATAGTTATGGAGTTAGTTATTGTTGTCAATAGATCCTCTGAAATATTACACACTGGACCTTTCAGGGGACATGACGTCACAGAGATGGAGTGCTGATGTTGCACTGGTGCTAGGAGTAGCAACCATGAGGTAGCTGCAAAAACTCCTGTATCACACTGATAGATTCAGCACAATATTCATTTTACATTACACCTGCACTAACAAAACATTTTTGGCCACTGGGGGCAGTGGAAACAAAATGTGAACACAATCTGGACTCACCTTGTAAGTTGATATTGTAAACTTATTAGCAAGTAGTTGCTGATCTACACATAGATCCCTCATTTAGAGTTGTGTTTGTGTCCACCCGATGAATGTAGTCCAATGTTCACTCTCTTTCAGCCGTTTGTGGTCTTCCTAAAGGAAATATGTGGCTCTCTCCACTGTGTTCACCAGCTAGTCTCCAGCTGTGTCTGTCTGTTGTTTTGGTGCGGATTCATCCCCAATGAATTCTCACACCTTGACCTTGTGTACATTACAGACAATGAGTGACTTTGAGTACCTGAAGCTGCTTGGGAAGGGGACATTTGGGAAGGTAATTCTGGTCAAAGAGAAATCCACCGGTGTACATTATGCCATGAAAATACTGCGCAAAGAGGTCATCATAGCCAAGGTAAGTAAGAGATCTACAGCTGTCACTCATTGCATTCTGCTGCTTCATACTCCCATACCTTCATACCATGAACGCCACAAAGTTTGGGAGAAAAGTTGGGCCACTAGAGGGCAACAGCATCAGCATAGTAGGGACAGTCTGATTTCCATTATGGCAGTATTATGTCATACTGGATATCTTTACTAAACACCAGGACCATGATTCTTTCCCTAATGTTAACCAAGTGGTTTTTGTTACTTTAATCTAACCATATTTTAATAATCAATAAACATTTTCTGACACTTTATTAGGCTATCTCTGCCTCCAATAGAAAACATTACAAAGAAAAATCAATTAAACACCACTTATTAAGAAATTTGGGCCTGTTTCTACATAACTAATTATTATTGGGGGGGGGTGATTGTGAGGGCAGTATTCTCTTTAGTCCCCAGACTCAAAAATCCAGCAGATTATCTGGCATTAAATGTCACACATCAAGTTATTTCTTTCTTTTTGTGAAACATTTATTCTGAACTGCTGTTTATAATATTATAGCCACCTGTCCATTTCCTGCCTTCCTACTGGACATGTTACTCCATGTTTCTTGGCAGCTGTTGTCTGTTCTTCCCCAGCATGTTGCTACACCTTCTCTCTTCAGTCAGAAATCTGCACAAAATGGATTTGTATATGGATATGTCACTCCACAACTATTGGGTGTTGGAATTAAAATGCAAATGAATTGAAGTGCCCCCTTCTAGTACTGCTGTAATGATGCAGAGCGGGGCTGTTGCTGATTCTGGGGCAGAGTTGCAGAATGAAATAAGAAACTTATACTAAGCTGTTTTAAGATTAAAACAAAGATCATGTCAAACCAGATAGTTACCGTGACCCTTTAAGGAAAGCTTTACATTTTATATGGCGTGTTTTCAGTGTTTCTGACAATAATGTTTTTGTTGGCAGGATGAGGTGGCCCACACAGTTACAGAGAGCCGAGTGTTACAAAACACACGACACCCCTTCCTCACGGTGAGAATACTTACAAATGACCCAGCTGTTAGTAAAGCTCAGCAGGAGTGCTGTCTCAGACTCCATTCATGGACATACATTGTCACAGTTATACAATTCCTGTAAAGAAAGAATTCACATATTTGGAACAACAAGTGAATTCTATTGAAATGAAGGTTGAATATCCTGTAAACAGTTTGATTCTGCTGGAAAAATATAATATAATTTACTCCAAAAATATAGATTTTTGGAGCTCTACTGGTTTGGAAGAATTTACAGCGGAAGCGGATGGATCTCAATTAGTCATGAGGATTCAGCTCTATCTCTGAATTAATAATGTTCAGTCCCCCAATAATTAAAACAATGGTTTTTACAACTGGAATCAAAAGCCTTTGAAAGCATTATGGGATATTTATGTTATATGATGAATGAATCCTAGACAAATGAAATTATTTCAGTCAGATAAGAAGCTACTAAAAAGGCCGTTCATCACACCTGACCTGGTGAAAGTATATCCCTCTTGTGATTTCACCCCCCAAAAAATTCACCTGATGGTATAGAGGTACGCTGGGATACTGTATTGTAACGTGTGCACTAACTGTATGTATTCATTTTTCTTATGGGATTTTCTTCCTGCAGACACTGAAATATGCCTTCCAGACCCACGATAGACTCTGTTTTGTAATGGAATATGCCAATGGAGGCGAGGTGAGAACTCACACACACACACACACCCCACAGTCACCTGGAGATACACTGATGTCACTTGGTGTCACACTCAAACAAATCCTCTTTAACAGGTAAGGGTTTGACTCTGGCCCCGTCCACACTACTGCGTTTAGGTTTTAAAACGGAGACCTTTTGCTACGTTTGCACCTCCCGTCCAGACTAAAACGATGAAAACGAAGACCTAAAACAGAGAAGTTTGAAAACGCTGCCGACCCCGTTTTTCGTTTTGAAACTCCGGAGGCCGTTTTAGGGAAGACGGCTGAAAATTGAGGACTTTAGAAACGATGACGCAGACACTCACGTTTGGCTCTCTGATTGGCTCTTACAAGTCATGCAAAACACGATGCTGCGTTTTTGACTTGGTATTTTTATTAAAATATTTTGGAAATATAACACTTACAGCCTACTGGCCCCACAGCCGCTTTTACATTCAGTAACAGTCCCAGCTCGTTCTTGGTCCATGCAAAATAAAATCTGGTGTGGTTCTTAGTCTGTATTACTTTCTTCTTTCACCAAATCTTCTGTAACCACAGAATAGACCATCTGCTTCGTGTTTACACCGGCTCGCGCATGCCCAGTATACCTGAACGGCCACTAGAGGTGCGTTGTCAGTCGTTTTAATGTAGATGCAGATCAACTCTGATACACAGCTAAAACGCTGCTGTGGACGGAGATCGTATATTTGTGTTAAAACTCCGTTTTTAAACTAAAACGGAAAAGTCTAGATGGGGCCTCTATCTGCTCTCTCTATTTTCAGCTCTTCTTCCACCTTTCCCGGGAAAGAGTGTTCACAGAAGACCGGGCCCGCTTCTATGGCGCCGAGATTGTGTCAGCGCTTGAGTACCTCCATTCAAGTGATGTTGTTTACCGTGATCTGAAGGTGAATACACTTAATGTCCGTCAGTTTGGAAATATACAATATCCATACAGGGTTTATATCGTGACTTCAGAGAAGGTCATAAATTTCCATTTTCCATTTACCACCACGTCATGTTTTCAGTAGAATAAACAAGGCATCTTCAGCTGAATAGAATTTAATTTAGAAGCATTTAATAGCAGTTGCAGTCTTTATTGATATATCTGTCAGTAAGTAAAATTTCTAGATAAGATCTGAAAATGTTATTCTTACTTACCTTGTTTGTGAAATATGGCCGGTATTTAAGGTGAGTGTAGGTAAGAGTGTGAAGCTAGAATTGGAATAGCAGCAATGTCACGATGGATGTTCTCTGGGTGCTCCGGCTTCCACCTACCCTCCAAAGACATGCAGGCTAGGTTAATTGGTGACCCTAAATTGTCCTTAGGTGTGGATGTGAGTGTGAGTGGTTGTCTGTCTATGTGTGGCCCTGCTGGCAACCTGGCAACCTGTCCAGGGTGTAACCCACCTTTCGCTCGATGTCAGCAGGGATTGGTTCCAGCCCCCCCCACTCCCCCCCCCCATACGCAGGATAAGCGGTTGACGATGGATGGATGGATGGATGGATGGGTTTCACTGGGCGTTACTTGTAGGGATACTTTCCATGATGTTGTCAGACACCTGGTATAACAGTCTGCACCTGTCATTGGCAAAAATAAGGACTTTTTGTGGATGTAATTTTGACAGATGCAGTTGCCCCAAAGGAATATGTTGCAGCCATTGTAGACTCTGATTTATATCAATGATCATAAGACTCAGATCTGATGTGTTTGCTGCTATTTTCCTCTCTCTCAGTTGGAGAATCTGATGCTGGACAAAGACGGCCACATCAAAATCACAGATTTTGGTCTTTGTAAGGAGGGCATTACCCCTGATGCTACAATGAAAACCTTCTGTGGAACCCCTGAATATCTGGCACCTGAGGTAAATGCATGTTCAGTGCAGTTTCTGACCTCTACACAAGGCATCATATATTCATACACTACAAACATTTACTACCACAAATTGCTGATCTCATGTTTAAGCAGATTTCCTGCATATATAAATACATTACCCGCATGTAATGAGTGTTTCTTGACACGAGCATTGTTTTTCACTTGATTACTGCACCATTTACATAAACTTCCAGCTGAAACACAGGCTCACCAGACATACTATAGATAAATGTAAGCATAACCAAAAAACCTGAGACTGACACACAGCAGCACAGGCCAAGATAACCCTGCCTAGCCTTCATCCAGCTACAGCTCTCACACTAATAAAAATTGTGCTGTGTGCCAGTGTCAGGTTTTTGAAAAACAAAAAAAGAACCTCAGTGATGTTAATCCACTTAATGATTTCAAAATAGTTTCACCCACATATACTGTGAGTTTTTTAACTATTTTTAACAGTTTCTGATTTATAGTCAAATCTGTGTTTTGCTGGAAGCACACTAGAGTATACTATAGTACTATTTGGGCTTGTTTTAGGTCTGATACGCCCCTCCTGACAATTGCGGGGATTTTAAGTGCAAAACATAGCAGACACCAGTGCAATTAGCTGACGACAACAATCTGGCTCCTGCCTTGTTCTATTTCTGAAGTCACATTTGATCAAATGAGTTTCTGTGAGATCCTTGGAACCGCCACTCTGAAGTAATTTAGTATAAAAGATGGGTGCTATGGGGTGTGAGGAGATGTGTGCTGTGAATGTGAAAATTAAAAATGGGCCAAGAGTCTTTTTGTAGAGCACACTGAGCTGGACTTGTGTGAGAAATTTCTAGTCAATTGGCTGTATGGTGTGAGGGGCATGGCCTTTCCAAAATTGCACTTTGCTGATCTGCAGGTGGGAGGGATTGGTTTGTTATCAGGGCAGGATACAACTAATGATTTACACCTGTTTGTGTGGATGATATATTATTTTAATTTGAGCAGTGAGTGAGATGAACTGTGATCTCACAAAGAGTGAGAATGTAATCTCAACCAGCAAAAGGAAATACCAAAAAGGTAAGAACCTTGACTCTTTAAACTTGGCCCTCTCCCCACTCCTAAACCCAGATCTTTCTGAGTTTAGCTGTGAACCAGGGTTTGTGAAAGTTATAAATCACATTAGTGTATGTTGGGATACAGCAAGACTCACAGAATTATTATGCCTTTTAAATTGTTTAACAAAATAGGATGCTAATGCCAGCTAATGTTAGCCATTATACCTTGTCAGTTGGTGGATTTGACAAGAAAGCTATGCTGATTCTGTAACAGAATACTAACCACATGCTGCATGTCATTGAAATCATTTTGCTGACTAACTTCGGAAGTTGCCAAATGTTAGAAAACAAGACTTGCGTTAAGACGAAATAACATCTACCTTACATCTCATTTTGCTGTTTTAACACGCAAATATGGTCTGTATCGTCAGATAAAGAGGTATTAAAAAAAAATGTCCAAAATGTAAGTGAGCCAGATTTAGCTGGCAGCTTAATGTTATAATAACAAAACATTAAAACATGGCATACAGACATTAAAAAACAACACAGGAGCATGGATGAAACCGTAAAGTACAAGTTACATAAGCACAGACAAAATCAGGCAAGCACAATTGATGACACGTAAAATACATCGACATACAGTGGATAGAAAGTCTACACATCCCTGTTGAAATGCTAGGTTCTTGTAATAATGACAAATGTCAGAACTTTCCACTGTTTTTTTTTTTTAACAAACTGAAATCTTCAAGGGGGACAATGAAGAAGGAAGAACCTTACAATGGCCTGGCTGCATAAGCTTCTTCTGGTGAAGCCATGCTTTTGTGGATTTGGATGTGTACTTTGGGTAGTTTTAATGCTGAAAGGTGAACTTCATCTTTCTAACAGACGCTTGATGGTTTTGTGCCAAAATTGCCTGGTATTGGGAATTGTTCATAATTCCCTCCACCCTGACTAAGGCCCCAGTTCCAGCTGAAGGGGGGGGAAAAAAACCCACCATGCTTTGGAAATTATTTTGTACTCGTCTCCTGACTGATATCTTTCAACAATGACATCTCTCGGATGCTTTGAAAGTTCTCTGCGGACCATGGCTTTTGCTCCGAGATGCAACTAAGAAAATATCAGGAAAGTCCTACTAGAATAGCTGAGCTTTATTTGTGATTAATCAGTCACTTTAAATAATGGCAGGTGTGTAATGACTTCTAGTTAACCTGCGTTTGAATGTGATTGGTTAATTCTGAACACAGCCACATCCCCAGTAATAAGAGGGTGTGCACACTTATGCAACCAGGTTATTGTCAGGTTTTTATTTTTCATTTTTCCCCTCGATTGTTTTTTTTTTTCTATTGAATTGTACACACTATAGGTCACATTAAAGGTGGAAAATTCTAACGTGATTTCTTATTTTTACATCACAAGAACCTGGCGTTTTAACAGGGGTGTGTAGACTTTCTCGATTCACTGTAGCTGTGTTTTCCCATTTTCATAATGCTGTGTGTAATCGAATCAAGTAGAAAAACAAATCTAATTTCTGTTTTTGAGAATTTTTATATTTTTTTTGACTCTCCTGCGCCAAAATTGACCTCCATGGGAGTATGTAGAGTGGAAAAAGTGGAATTCTAGAAGACGTTTTGAATGGTTTCTGAGAAGTCACTGCGAGTTATCCTGTTCAGGATTTAGTCTTTGAGGTGGCTGGTCCAAGCTCTGATGCTCTGTAAAGATTTTCCTGAGGGAAAGGGTGAGAACAGACCACTTGTTTTGACAGACACACAAATTGCAATTTTCCTGGCCAATTCTGATTTCCGACTTGATGGTCTCGTCTCGGGCTCGAACGCATTTGTACTCGGTCTTGTCTCTGTTTCGGATATTTATTTCAAGACCAGCCCATAGCCTTGGGAATATCAATAAATTGCCTGTGCATTGTCTGATTTTATTAACATCCTTGTTGGAGTTTGACGTGTGACAGCAAACTATAAATGTTGAACTCATTGTTCAGCATGAATAGTTCGGAAACTGCTGGTTTGTCCGACTGGAATTATATTATACTAGTGGTAAGCTATATAGTACACTATTATATGAAATGATGATGAATATAAAGTTTACTATTAAATGAACATAATACTTTTTATTTATTGTTATAATACTATTCTAATCTACTCATTTATAGGCTACTAGTTCCTCCTCCAGGTTGTGGATAGACACTCTGCAGTGGACAGATGTAGATTTAGCCAGAGCCGAATATGCAGTTTTAGACAAAATAACTAACTTTCTTGGGTGAGGACCCACTCCCACAACCCCACATTGTGTGCTCAGTTGTTAGGGCCCGAGCACGACCGTGTGAGGTCCCTATTGAATTTGCTAAGATTATTTTTTTTTCTGCAAAGTAGGCTCCATTGACGGGGCCTAAACATACTCAAACTCACCAAAATTTGCAAACATGTCAGAACTGGTGAAAAATTTCATATTTTATGGGTTTTGCGCATGGGCGTGGCAAAATGACTCGCTAGCGCCACCTAGAAAATTGGAAAAGATTATCCCCTCGTTCACGTTCAACCTACATGTACGAAATTTTCTGGGGACGTGTATCATATCAAGACGCACAAAAAAGCCTCAAGAACCCATACCCTAAACTCAACAGGAAGTCGGCCATTTTGAATTTTAAGGATTTTGGATGATTTACACACTCCGTACTTTAACGAACTCCTCCTAGGGATTTAGTTCTGTGAGTTTTCGTCAATGGGCGTGTCCGCGGCGTCAAAGATCAACTCTTCGCAGGAAGTTGTTGTAACTTCAGTGTACATACTCACATCTGAACAAAACTACGTGCTTGATAACTCTCCCACCCCGCAGACATCTACACGCCAATACCGATTTATATTAGTAGCTCCACATAGGGGACACAGGAAGTGACATACAAACACCTTCATGCAGCGTCGGAACCGCGTAGCAAATTCACAGCCGCACCAGCAGAGCTCCAGAATATGCAACGCGGCCGCCTCACATCCGGACGCACTACATGTGCGAGGGCCCGCCCGTCGCTGCTTGTAGCTTTAATTCTTCTATTTGTTTTTCCTGCTTTTTTTTTTTTTATTTATTTTTTTCTTTGTCTTGTCCTATGCCAATCACATGCCTGACTAATGCTAAAGTAAACACATCTATCCATTGGTGATTAGCCTACAAAACATTTCTGTATATGTAGAAGGCTCAGCTCAGACTTGGCCACAGACCCTACGTTCTCGCATGTGTTTAGCCTACGTCACTTACCTGTGGTGGTTGGTTCGGCTCGCGACCGGCTTGCGTCATTGGATAGCTAGAAAATCCACACTACAGGGGAAATATAGACAATGCTGGCAAGGATACAGGCTACAAAGAGTGCATCTGTCTTCTGTTACCAAGCAAACGTTAATGACAGATGCTGTATAGATTGAAGTAACAGGAGATACTATGGGCGCTAAAGGTGGCTAAATGGCATTATTCTTACAAATCAATGTAATAAGACCAAAGTTTTACACTTTACGTTTTACACGCTTTGATATTCATTTTTTATTTTATTTTTTTTCTGTTTGCATTGGAACAACACAACAAGCAAGGGGGGCATAGCAGAGCAATACGAGACATTCCACACAGAACTCCAAAAATGGATCGGACCAAATGATTGGCATCTCTCAGGGCTTAAAGCTTTTCGGCGTGCTGCGTTTTAGATTCGACAATATATAATTATGTTTGTGGAAAGAACTTATTGCTTTTTGTGTGTGTGTCAGAAGTGCTTGTCATCAGCACAATTTGGTGGCTTGGTGTATATACAAAAGAAAGAACTTGTACTTCCTGACAACATGGACACGTGGCTATTTTAGGCCTCACAGGGTGGAAGTTTCTATTGGGTTAACGTGTAGCCACTTTTTTTTTTTTTTTTACATGTTGCAACTGTAGTTGGGCTAATATAAAACAACAGTGTGTGTGTGTATTTGATAATGCATTTTGAACTAAACATTTTACTAGATTGGATCGTCTAGACCTTTGCCCAGTTGATGAGGTTGTTTTTGTCGGAATGTAATCCATTGGTGGACTACGGCTTCACATACAAGTGGCATCAGTTTTGATTATAGACTGTGCTTGAATTGGGCCACCGGTTCCAGAGCTTTCACACTTTACATTTTGGTGTACTGGAACATTTTTTGCTGTTCTTTTCATACCAGCACTTTTCTCTGGGCTCTGTGTGACGCTCACCTGCAGCCATGTGCATAAAGTTGCTCGTCAAAGTAACTTTGAACTGACCAATCGCAGCCTGGATGGGGCGGGACACACAAACGGTTGACGGCAAACCTTTGAAATTGAGCTTGTTTTTCTGCATAAATGATTGACAAGTTAGTAATAGCATTAATTAATTAGAGACTGACCACCGTGCAGATAATTTCTTACACAAGGACTTCACGAATGAAAGTAAACCACAGAAATGAAACGGCTCTCTGAATGGAATTATTATGCTAGTGGTAAGCTATCTTGTATACTATTATAATGAATGCACTAACATTAGCCCTAGTACTGGCCAATACACACACCAACATGTGAATAGGGAGTACCAGTAGGGCTGGGCAATAAAACAATGATGATGATTATTGCGATATAATCAATTTTATTTATATAGCGCCAAATCACAACAAGTTATCTCACAGTGCTTTTCATAAAAGAGCAGGTCTAGACCGTACTCTATGATGCTATTTACATCTGGCTAGCTGACTGGCTAGCTACAGTAGCTAAAGACTGATCTACCAAGGTGCGGAGCCGGACTTCTAAATCACTGAGCCTCGCCTCCATGTCTACAAATAAACTACACTTATTACACTGACACACCGAGCAGGAGAAAGTAGGAGAGAGAGGTAGGAGAAGCCATCGCTAGCTGCTAAGCTAAAGTTGCTAACAGCTAAGCTAAAGTACTGTAGCGTAGCAACTATGAGATTGAACAGCAGTCACTAAAAGATGGAAAGAACTGTGAGAAAAGAACAGAGTACGGTCTAGACCTGCTCTTTTATGAAAAGCGCTGTGAGATAACTGTTGTGATTTGGCGCTATATAAATAAAATTGAATTGAGTGCTTAGGCAAAATTACTGTAAGAATAAGTGTTTAGCGGACAGTTGGCTGCTGTAATCTAACAAATGTAACTGTTATTTAGCAAGAGCAGCACAACACGGTACCAACACACAAGCACCGGAAACGGAAATGAGTCGACACGCTTACCGCAGTACGTCAGCAGACACTTGACACTGGACTTCAAGCACCGTGGATTCTCAAGCAAATACTTATTGATGGATAGATGTGATGTACTCAACAGCTTGTTACAATCCTCAATAACAATATAGAAACTTATCATTAAATTGATTTAATTCATTTGAATCACAAACAAGTTAGTACTTCTAGTTTTTCTATTAGATATGTATTGTTGAAACGGGACTGAAAAGATTTTACTTATGCATATTTGTTGAAAAGACTTTATCAATTGTTTTGAATGTTCTACCTCAGATATGTTAAGTGACCTGCTGTTTTTGGCATCAAGTGTTTGTTCTGACCCTAAAAAGATTTAAAGCATAATTATCTCTTTCTTCAACTTTCTCTCAGGAGCAAAAATTAGACTTTAAAATGGAAAATAATGGTTTTACATTTTATTTTTGGCCATATTGCCCAGCCCCAAGTACCTGCACTTACCTCCCACTTGAAGCACTGATTATAGGTGGTGGCAGAAAGTTTCACCAGAATGCAGGAAATAAAGTGTTTAAAATGTTCTTGGGGAGGACCCTGTGACCCCCCTCTGTCATATTTTTCAACATTTCTTCAAAACATTGTACAGTTACCTTCCGTTCTTGTGAACCCTGAATCATATTTCCTGTCATGTCTCGTGAGCTAAGTTTGTCACACACCTAATCTGAGCCCCTATGTCCCCACCACTTCTCAACACAAAGTTGCGCTCTTGCCCCCAACCTCTATCTTTTTTGTAACCCCAAAACACATTTCAGGCACAGAAGGGGGGGGGGGGCTCACTATGACCTCCAGCTACATTGAGGGGTACTATCTGCAATGGAAAACGGAGCACGGTCAAACCGAGGCGAGTTGAGCTGGTAATGGAAAAAACAGCTGGCTGGCTGAGACCTGGGAGGACTCCGCAACCGACACACAAACAAAACCTTACCTGAGGAAGGCAAAATCCCTGTGGCAGAATGCCTGTGGACGGATGAGACTAAAATAAAGCGGTTTGGTAAAGCACATCATTCTTCTGTTTTCAGAAAACAAAACAAGGCCTTCAAAGAAAAGAACACGGACCCTATAGTCAAACATGGTGGAGGTTTACTGATTATTTGGGGTTGCTTTGCTGCTTGAGGCACTGGATGTCTCGACTGCGTGCATGGCATTATGAAATTTGAAGACTACAAAGTTTAGGTAGCCAATAATTTATTCAAGCGCATTTTTGAGTGAGTTCTGTATGGAATGTCTCAGATTTGGCTTTTTCTCTTCTGGTGGTTCCAATGCACCAAAGGAAAAACATGAGAATACAAAAGCATTGTTGCAACAATTTTCTGGGATGTATGACATGCATGCAGGTGTGCCCATACTTTTGGGCATGACTGAATGTTTAGGACAGGGAACTGTGCAGTCAGGTGATGTATACCAAATGTAAACGTTAAAGGCTTCAAATTCAGTCACTACTTACTGCCACTGAGAAATCTTAATCAGGCTAATGTCTGTCTCTCAGGTCCTGGAAGATAATGACTATGGCAGGGCGGTGGACTGGTGGGGTCTGGGTGTAGTCATGTATGAGATGATGTGCGGCCGTCTGCCTTTCTACAACCAGGACCATGAGCGTTTGTTTGAGCTCATCCTTATGGAGGAGATCCGCTTCCCCAGGAACCTGTCACCCGAAGCCAAGTCCCTGCTGGCTGGCCTGCTCAAGAAGGACCCCAAACAGAGGTGTGTGTGTGTGTGTGTGTGTGTGTGTATAATCCTTTTGGAAATACAACTTAATTCTTACGTGATGTTGTTTGGACTGATAGGTTAGGTGGCGGCCCCGATGATGCCAAAGAAGTAATGAGTCACAAATTTTTCCTCACCATCATCTGGCAGGATGTCGTACTGAAGAAGGTAAGCCATCATGAGGTTAGAGGAAGTGAAGCTGAGGTTACTCCTGGCTGGCTTCATATCTGTGATATAGACACTTTCATCAAACTTTAAAAATTCTCACCTCCAACTTGGAGTGCCCAGTCACATACTAGATTTGGGCCAATAGACGGTACAATCATCCAACGGCAATGGCTGACAGATATCACAATGTTAAGCCAATTGTTCGCGTTAAATAACCATGTGAACGCATGTTTTAATCCCCACGGACGACATTATTCATTTTAAATCTACCTGCTTTGCACCTGCCTCGGACTTCTCTTCTCCCCACGTCACTTACCTACACCTGTGGTGTCTCACTGCAAACACACAGGCTTGGCCTGGATCGCTCGCTCGCTAACCTCTACAACCCAGTTAACATGGCTATCCTTATTAGCTAGGCTCCTTGCATGCTTGTTTATAATTTATTTGAAGGTGGGTCTCAGACACTGACAGCGTTGCTAAGAAAATAGATAGACTAACTTCTCAGAGTTAACTTGAATGCTTTAGTTTTTCTATTTACACACAGCTCCGATTCAGTGTGTTTGAGAAAGGGAGCGAGCATGTGGAGGCTGAGTGAATACATGCTCATGGGGCGGCTGTGGCTCAGGAGGTAGAGCGGGTTGGCCGTTAATCGGAAGGTCAGCGGTTCAATCCCTGGCTCCCCCTGGTTGCGTGTCGAAGTGTAAGTGTCCTTGGGCAAGATACTGAACCCCGAATTGCCCCTGGTGGCTATTCCGCCAGTGAGTGTGAATGTTAGTTTCCGTTTGAGCACTTAGGCTCAGTGTATGAATGTGTGTGACTGGTGAATGCAGATGTAGTGTAAAAGCGCTTTGAGTGGCCGAAAAGACTAGCTATACAAGTACGGAGCATTTACATTCATGTAAAATATGGTATGTGGCCGTAACTGTGTTCACATGCAACTCAAATTTAATCCTCGCAACACTTTCCTTGTGCGGGACAACTGCCAAGTGAGACAATACGATAATGTGACAACACAACCTGCGATTATTACAGCTGTATGAAACCAAACATTTGGCTTTTAATTGCAATAAACAGATCAAACTGGTGTGTGTATGTGTAATGCGCGCGCTGATTTGTTCAACATGAATTCATGCTTTGTCAGGTCTGTCAGCAGGACAACAACTTCTAAAATGTTTGGTTTCTGAATGGAGTTCGGATTGATCAGGGCTGTGCTATGCTAACTTGTTCACAGTAAAATACGACGATAGCTGGAAGAAAGTTACAAACACAACCCTTTTTTTATTTTTTATTTTTTTTATATACAGGTGCTGGTCATATAATTAGAATATCAAAGTTTATTTCAGTAATTCCATTCAAAAAGTGAAACTTGGCTATTCATTCATTCCACACAGACTAATATATTTCAAATGTTCATTCCTTTTAATTTTGATAATTATAACTGACAACTAATGGAAATCCCAAATTCAGTATCTTCGAAAGTTAGAATATTAAGACAATACAAAAGGATTTTTAGAAATGTTGGCCAACTGAATAGTATGAACATGTACAACACTCAATACTTAGTTGGGGTTAGTTTGCCTGAATTACTGCAGCAATGCAGCGTGGCATGGAGTCGATCAGTCTGTGGCACTGCTCAGGTATGAGGGTGCTGTTATCCCTATTGCTTGTACACTTTCTTTTTTTTCTACCACATCTCTTCCTTCCCTTCGCCTCTCTATTAATGTGCTTGGACACAGAGCACTGTGAACAGCCAGCCTCTTTAGCAATGACCTTTTGTGTCTTGCCCTTCTTGTGCAAGGTGTCAATGGTCGTCTTTTGGACAGCTGTCAGCAGTCTTCCCCATGATTGTGTAGCCTACAGAACTAGACTGAGAGACCATTTAAAGGCCTTTGCAGGTGTTTTGAGTTAATTAGCTGATTAGAGTGTGGCACCAGGTGTCTTCAATATTGAACCTTTTCACAATATTCTAATTTTGAGATACTGATTTTGGGGTTTTCATTAGTTGTCAGTTATCATCAAAATTAAAAGGAATGAACACTTGTAATATTAGTCTGTGTGGAAAGAATGTTTTCATTATCCAAGTTTCACTTTTTGAATGGAATTACTGAAATAAATCAACTTTTTGATATTCTAATTATATGACCAGCACCTGTAAATATGAAGTAATAGTCCATCAGAGCTCTGGGTGTCAACCGACGCTAACACTGAAACCTGATGTTCTCGGAGGGTCGCTTCCGAGAAGCTCCAGTGAAGATAAATCAACGTTGCAATCCCAAAAACTAAAGTAAAAGGCTAATTTAATAAAAGCAGTTTACTGTGAGCTCCTCCCACGAGCAAATGGCGTAGTTGTCAGAGAAGAATCCAGACCGACTACAGGTGTTTATTTGTCCAAAGGTTGCAGCGCTGCTCCTTGCTCCTCTGCCCCAAGGTTAGCAGCTCTCCGCCGGCCAGCAGATTTTCAATCTCCCGCTCTGCCCAGTCTTAACAACCACATTTTCTAACTCACCTGAAAACTGAAAAATAATTTAAGATGCCTGTCTGTAGGCTACAGGACAGAGCTGCAGGCTACGCCAGTTTACACTCAGATTGTAACTGATGTTCTCAACATTGGACAAGTAGGCAGTAATAAAATACAGCTTCTTTGTATAAATTGAGCTAATGTTCAGTTACATTGCAGCCTGCTGTAGAAGCTTTCCTGCTCAGCTGCGTAGTCTGAAGGAGAGGGGAGATGTTAGCTAGTGCTAACAGGCTTCACTTTTCCAGCAGTTGAGGAAACAGACTTTTCTTGGTCTTGAGAAGCTGACGCACTGTAACGGACACAGCACATTTACTGCCAGAATATTTTCCTCCACTAGCGTTCACCGTCACTTTCTGCTGCTCGGGCAATCAAACACTCATACGAACCTCCCCGATTCGGAGTTACACTGCTCTTATAATACCATCTGTCATTTAAAGAATGCGGAGCGAGCCAAGCGAAGAATGTTACCATGCTCTCACAGTGTGAGTGAAAATTAGTAGCGCATTGATAAATATAAGTGTGGGGAAATTTTAGTAGCAGCGGGGGTATTAACAGACAGGTCCATCAATAGCCGTTTCTACACTGATTATTTCCAGGTAGTACTGCTCCAACATGCTGGCTCGCTGCTCTGTATGAAAGGTACAAAGCCAGTGTTGTATTACAGATGACAGTGTTTTTCTATGCTGCTTGTGAAAGTACACATGGTTGTGAAATTATGCCGCAACCATTGGTTTAGTATGAATGAGCAAATGCAGCAAATATTCGTTTCCTGTCTAATGCAGGATCTATGTATAAGAATATGGTAACATAAAATAAAACAATAAATAAACATTCTGCAGTGCATGTTTTTTATTTGCCTCTGGGTGAATGTAAACCGCAGCAACAATATGGTTTCATCTTTACAAAAGATCTGACATTTGGGGAAACAGATTCCATCTTGACTATGAGCATCAAGCATCATGGATGAAAACCGTCCACCTCATCTTGCTGGAGTCTAGTGCTGACCGCTCAGGACACTGACCACCACCAATTGCTTGATCCAGGATGTTTATAAGGAAGGTCTCTGTGAAGGTGTGGGCTCCACAGTCTGATTTCCAGTGCTGCTCCCATTTTGTCCAGACCGGACCTTTAAAGGAGCAGCCTTGTCCAAGATGGGCCAACATGGCTCCTATCCTGGCTCTTTCCTCTCCTCTTGGGGTGATCACTGCCGGTCAGTGGTCATCATCGCCGTGGTGCGTGCTCAGGTTGATCAGGCTGGCAGATCGTCTCAGTCTGCTGGTCTTCAATCCAAAACCCCAGCTTCCTTTTCAGGCACATGTTTCAGCAATAAAGCTGGAAAAAACAGATGAAAAACAAATGTGTAGTGGAGTTTGAAGGAGCCACTGCATCAGCATGTACAGCCAATGCCATAGACGGCATCTCCTGATCCAGTAGATTTGAACAATTATGGCTAAGCACTTTAACTCAAAATCCAACAAACGTTATTCGGTGATGCCGAAACAAATTCCAGATCAAAACAAATGTAGCGAACTTTGAAGGAGCTTCTAGCTGCTGGATTTACATTCACTACTGTTGCCATAGCATAGAGAAATATTAAATAAAAAAAAAAAAATGACAAGATGGACTTGATTGATCCCACACAGGGGAAATTCACTTAAACACACCTTTTATACCAAATGATGATTTTTCAATTCTGTTCGGTACTGGGTAAGTTATTGTTTGTGTCAGCTGATGGGGTGATATTTAGTGCTTTATGGGAACTTGAGCAAAGAAATGCACTCGGCAAATCTCTTATTTCTTACTGCCTCTAAGAGAACTTTATTACTTGCTTTTTACTACATGTTTGCATGCACATGATGGCTACCATGAGTATCCTTCAGAACCCAGCAGAACTAACATCAATAGCTGAGTTTTCAGGAGAGACTACCAGAGCATGTCCACTGTTACCTCAGTAATCCTAAAATGAAAAACATGGTCACCCTGTTGACCAGTGGTCGGCAATTGGCGGCCCGCGGGCCAGAACCGGCCCGCCAGCAAATATAACAATATAAATAAATATAATATTGCTTTGATAGCAGAAAAATAAATAAACTGATGCGGCTGGTGCTGAAACAGATCTGTCATGACAGCTACAGTTACTCACACAGTCACTTCCTCTTAAGTGATTGTGCCTCCAAAATAAAAGCACAAACGTTTTTTGCAGCAATGCTTTGAGTTTATTGAGAGCTTTTACTTTGAAGAGTTCTGAAGGACATTCACAAGAGTCTCTGGCGTGCTTGACACACCTGGAAAAAGCCGTCAGTAAACGTGATTGGATTCCCCTGAATCTCCTCAGGGAAATGAGAATAAGCATCTATAGGATTTTGAATAGGGATCAAACACCGGGATGCGCACACACTGCAGCACATGCTTTATTGTAAACATGTGCAAAAGTGTCCTTTTTATTCAATTTGTTTAACAAGGGATGTTCTGGCCCTTGAAGAAAAATTGGCCCGATGCCAGACTTATTTGCAGTCTTATGTTGTGAAAAAAGATTTGAGTGTGTGGGGGATCAGCCCCCTAGTGGATATATTCTGAATATTCCAGAGGTGCTATACAAGTTCAGACCATTTCCCTCCTCTCCCATTCATGTCAGCTCAACCCACTCTTCAGACCACAAGTGACATCAGAGACAGACACGCGGTACTTTGATGAGGAGTTCACAGCGCAGACCATCACACTCACTCCCCCAGATAAGTGTAAGTATCCTCTGACAGGTGGAGCTTTCAGGTCTTGTCTATGATGCCCAGCCTGATCCTCCGCTGTCCTTGATCAGGGTCTGTTTTCTTGGCTGAAATGTGATTAGTGACTTGTGCTGTCTTGTTCTTACAGATGACAGTCTGGACTGTGAGGACCCCAGCCAGCAAGCACATTTCCCCCAGTTCTCCTATTCTGCTAGCATAAGAGAGTGATAAAGCTCGCACGCACGTGCACGCGCGCGCACACACACAGACAGCTCTAAAATGACCAGAACCTCCATCTTGAATGAGGTTTTGGTCCCATCAGGATGTAAGTGCCTCGGCTGGCAGCCATATTGTTCTTTAGAAAGTCCTTTCGTCCACATTACGGGCAAAGCCTGGCCAGACTTCAGTACCTCACATAGCCATCAGCACAACCCGACAGCACAATCAGGACCTTGTCTGTAGCATCTTCAGATGGTCTATAAACTACTGCTGCTTTTTCAGACTGTAAACACCAATATTTCTTAACACTTTTTATGGTCTAATGAGAAGCCATACAGTTACTTTTCCAAGTGCTCTTCTTCAGAATTAGCTGGTGACGGGCAGGTTTGTATGTGAGGGAGGAAGAAGCGTGGCACTGTTTTTCTATAGGGGGGTGTGTGTGTGTGTGTGTGTGTGTGTGTGTGTTTCTTTTTTGAGAAAATGTCATCAAATCCAAACTAAATGTCATCAGTTGAGAGCATGAGGTTTGTGTGTCTTAATATGCATCAGGAACAACAGAAATTGATAACGCTCAATGGTCAAAGTGTCTCTGCAGAGAAAAAATGTCTGAGAGAGGCTGTCCTTATGTGTATGCAATAAAAAGCAAATCACTTGAAGATTAGTTTACTCATCTCAGAATGTGATCTTTGTTAACAGAGCTGTCAAGTGCAACATAGCAATGAATGGGAATAGGGAATACCTTAATGCATAAGGTGGATATGTTCTTTTTCAAAACAAGTTTTTTTTATTCTAACAAATTTTTGATCTTGATCAGCAAAATACACCATCCATGTGATTTAGTAGGCTCAGTAAGCACTTGGTCGTTTAAAGAAGACATGTTCCTAATGTAGCTGAAAGCTTCCTGGATTGCTTATTATTTTTTTAATATATAGTATTGTGTATAAATAAAAGTTGGCATCAAATGTCAGATTCATAATGCTGAGTTTCTGATGTCCACCAACATTTGGCCAATTTTACACCATTTCATTTGGCCAAAGTTCTTGTATGGCTGCTCGTGTTTGGACAACATTTAACATTTGAGAACTTTGGAATTTTCTTTTTGTTTGTTGTTTAAGAAGAAAATGGTTTTAGTATCAGCACTGCTATGGGGGGGGATTAACCAACCCGAGCACCAAGTGAATTCATTGCACATTCAGAGAAAGTGTTCATATTTGGAATGTCAACCTTTCTTGGCATCCGAAGCTAATTTTGTAGTCTAGTTCCCCCATACCTGTGTTAGAACTTGTCTTTGTAGCCTCTGTATAAAAGTAGTCTTTCCTTTGATCATAACTCACCATCTCATCGTTTACCAGCTGGATACTTTTACATGCTTGAAGATGTGGTTGACCGTTAACATGTCTGAATGTCCTCCTGGCATCTCGTCTTTGCTGAAGAACCAAAGAATCATCCAGGGAGCTACGTACACCATGACCATGGTCCTTTGTCAGATTTTATGTTTGAGTGCAATGGTGACTTGCAAGGATGTCTTTTTATTAATTTCATTCTTCACATTTATTATTAATCACTGCACAACATTAAATGGTAACCAACATAGAATGGGTGTTATACTGTACATGAAAATACACCCGCTATTGTATTGGTGCTACACTGTTGAGTCACTGGTAAATAAAAAGCTGATGCAGCTTCCTGTTATTCAGAGCCTTCTACCACACACACTGTTCTGAAATAATTTCCGTTATTTTTGTCTTTGTGTTTATATTCTGGTTTTACTTCTCCACTTGCTGTTTACTTCTTCCTTCCAGATCCCTGAACCTCCTTCACCTATTTTAAATTAAGGAAATTCATTATAGTTGAAAGAAATATTTGTTTTCAGTTTCATTATTATATTCATTTCTATTTGTCTATGAATGTAATTCTGAAAGATGATCCAATACATGTTTTTAACGGTCTTAAGACATCCTCATGTTTGTGTGTGGATTCTTTTCATCCCTCTGTGGTTGGCGGAGTAAGAACAATATATCTTCTTCCACTACTTGGACTTGCCCTTAGTTTGGGCAGGTTTTGTGCCTTCACACAGTTTTCCCTCCTCTGTTTTCAAACTGCATGAGGCAGATGTTACCAGCGGACAGTCTAAGATCACAGAAAGCGGAGATGGGTGTACCTGCCACACATTTAGCCCTGCTGCTTCTATTCTGCCGCTATAACTATGCATTCATTCCACTTTTAACATGCTTTGAGTCTTTGCTCTGTTTACTTACATGCAATCATCACATTGTTCTGCTCACAGTACTGTAACTAATGAGGATACATCTGTTGTGGCTGTGTTGGCTCATTTACTGTGTGACAACGTACAAAGGTACAACAACCACCTGACTCAACTGCTCTGCAGTCGCCTGTAAAGGGATCATCGGGTTTGTTACCTGATGTTTCAGAGAATGAATGTGTTGGTGGCATGTGCAATGTGAGGTGCCATCACAAATGTATTAAGTCCATCAAATGAAAGTGACATGTACAGGTGCTGGTCATATAATTAGAATATCATCAAAAAGATTTATTTCAGTAATTCCATTCAAAAAGTGAAACTTGGATAATGTATACATTCATTCCACACAGACTGATATATTACAAGTGTTCATTCCTTTTAATTTTGATGATTATAACTGACAACTAATGAAAACCCAAAATCAGTATCTCAGAAAATTAGAATATTGTGAAAAGGTTCAATATTGAAGACACCTGGTGCCACACTCTAATCAGCTAATTAACTCAAAACACCTGTGGGGGAGATTCACAAAGAGTGGACTGCAGCTGGAGTCAGTGCTTCAAGAACCACCATGCACAGACGCAAGACATGGGTTTCAGCTGTCGCATTCTTTGTGTCAAGCCACTCTTGAACAAGACAGCGTCAGAAGCGTCTCGCCTGGGCTAAAGACAAAAAGGACTGGATTGCTGCTGAGTGGTCCAAAGTTATGTTCTGATGAAAGTAAATTTTGCATTTCCTTTGGAAATCAAGGTCCCAGAGTCTGGAGGAAGAGAGGAGAGGCACAGAATCCACGTTGCTTGAAGTCCAGTGTAAAGTTTCTACAGTCAGTGATGGTTTGGGGTGCCATGTCATCTGCTGGTGCTGGTCCACTGTGTTTTCTGAGGTCCAAGGTCAACCCAGCCGTCTACCAGGAAGTTTTAGAGCTCTTCATGCTTCCTGCTGCTGACTAACTTTATGGAGATGCAGATTTCATTTTCCAACAGGACTTGGCAACTGCATACGTGCCAAAGCTACCATTACCTGGTTTAAGGACCGTGGTATCCCTGTTCTTAATTGGCCAGCAAACTCACCTGACCTTAACCCTATAGAAAATCTATGGGGTAGAGGAAGATGTGATACGCCAGACCCAACAATGCAGAAGAGCTGAAGGCCACTATCAGAGCAACCTGGGCTCTCGTAACACCTGAGCAGTGCCACAGACTGATCGACTCCATGCCACGCCGCATTGCTGCAGTAATTCAGGCAAAAGGAGCCCCAACTAAGTATTGAGTGCTGTACATGCTCATACTTTTCATGTTCATACTTTTCAGGTGGCCAACATTTCTAAAAATCCTTTTTTTGTATTGGTCTTAAGTAATATTCAAATTTTCGGAGATACTGAATTTGGGATTTTCATTAGTTGTCAGTTTTATTCATCACAATTAAATGAAATAAACATTTGAAATATGTCAGTCTGTGTGTAATGAATGAATATAATATCCAAGTTTCACTTTTTGAATGGAATTACTGAAATACATCAACTTTTTGATGATATTCTAATTATATGTCCAGCACCTGTATGAAGGCAGGGTGCGATTTGTTGGGAGGCGCGGAAGGGTGGGATTTCCCCCCTTGTGCTTTATATATACTTGCCTCTGTTGAATCATTTGTATTGAATCAAAATGTATTCCCCCCCCCATGCTATGCTGATCAATGCTACCTCAGTAATGATGCAACTGATCTCAAAACTTGCAGTTTGGATCGATCTGTAGTTTTGTTTTTGTTTTTTAGGGCCCGAGCACGAACCGTGTGAGGTCCCTATTGTAACTGAAGGGATTATTCTTTTTAGGGGCCGAGTACAAACTGTGTGAGGTCTCTATTGTAACTGAAGGGATTATTTTTTCCCTTCAGTTACCCGTGGCGGCGAAGTTACACGCTTCGCCATGACACAGGAAGTTGTTGTAACTTTACTGTACATGCTCAGATCTGTCCCGAGTCCCACCCTGAACACATGTACATTCACCCACAGTCATAGCGCCACCTGCTGGCAACAGGAAGTGACCTTTAACAAAGCAGCCCCCGCGGCACGTTTCACCTACATGTATGAAATTTCTGTGGCACATGTATCATGTCCAGACGTACCAAAAAGCCTCGCGTAGTGATGCCCTAAACCCAACAGGAAGTCAGCCATTTTGAAATTTATGGTCATTTTTGGAAGATTTACACTCCATACTTAAATTAACTCTTCCTAGGGATTTAGTCCGACTGATTTCAGATTTGTGCTGTGCAGTCTAAAGCCAGTGACGATTAAAAGTTGTACAAACGGTGAGTTATCATGGAACGGCGTGGCCATGGCGTGGTGTCCAAAATCGTTCATTTGTCATAAAACAGGAAGTTGTTGTAAGTGCAGTATACATGCTCACATGTACACCAAATTTGATATGTAAAAGTCCCGTCCTGAACACATCCACATGCCAATATTCACTCAAAGTCACAGCACTGCCTGCTGACAACAGGAAATGGCACTTTTTATGCACTACTCTTATCCGGTTGGACATATCGACTTCAAAACTGTCCCAGAAAACCCTTACGGCATTGATGAAGCCATGTTGTAAAACTTGTGACTTTGCAGTTAACGGTCTGGCGGTGGCGTGGCGGCAAAGGTAAACTCCTCGCCAAGATAAAGGAAGTTGTTGTAACTTGACTGTACATGCTCAGACCTGTACCAAATAGCAAATAGTCCTGCCCTGAACACATGTACAAGACAGCATTCACCCATAGTCATAGTGCCACCTACTGGCAATAGGAAGTGACCTTCAACAAAGCGGCATTTTTCATTTTTGGATTTTTTACCATTACCAGTACCCAGGGATGTCCTCAGCCCACTCCTCTATTCACTCTTCACACATGATTGTAGTCCCATCCACAGCTCCAATGCCATATTTAAATTTTGTGATGAAACATTTATAGTGGGACTAATTACCAACAACGAGGAGTCAGCGTACAGACAGGAGGTGGAGAGTCAACTTGGATGGTGCAAAGCCAATGACCGGATTCTCAACACCAAGAAGACAAAGGAAATGGTCATTGACTTTAGGAAGAGTAAGAGAGTGCATACAGGGTTATACATAAACGGGGAAGAGGTTGAGCGATTGCTTAGTTTTAAATATCTTGGAGTACATTATCTGAGGATCTCACTTGGAAGGTGAACACAGCATGTCTGGTGAAGAAGGCCCAGCAACGCCTTTTCTTCCTGCGTACACTCAGACGCTTAAAACTCTCCCATGAACTCCTGAAAAATTTCTACTGATGTACAGTTGAGCGTGTCCTGACATTGCAGTACACTGTGGTACTCAAGCTGCACAGCAGAAGAAAGGAGGATCTACAAAGGGTGGTGAAGACTGCTCAGTGGATTGTCGGTACCTCTCTTCCCTATCTGAACGACATCCACTCTAGCTGTCTTCTCAGACGCGCCAGGAACATCTATGGAGACCCTTCACACCAAGGTCACCATCTGTTTTGCAAACTTCCTTCAGGCAGGCTCAAGGTCATCAGGACGAGGACAAACCACCTAAAGAACAGCTTTTTCCCATGAGCTGTGGATATGCTGCTGCAATCTTGAATGTCGATCATGTGATGTCAAACTGCTTAACACACACTGAATGCACTTTATCTAACTGCTGGACCAGTTAATTAGTTTTGAATGCTAATATTGCTGTTGCATTTTTTAATGTATGTTTTATTGCTTCATGTTATTATTAGGGCTGGGCATGTTAACGCGTTAACATATTAATTAATTAACGCCGACAATTATTTTATCGCACGTTAAAGCAGTTTTTTTTTTAAATTATAATTATTTTGAAAGTCCGTTGCTCACTGGCTCAGAATACACATACAGTCAAACCATGTATCACAGGAGGGGCGGGATGTTGAGCAGCCTGCAAATCACCCACCCAAACAAGCAGTGGAGGGAGTCTTTGGCAGACCACGTTGTCATCTTTCTTCCATATTTTTCCACCCGCGATCCGTTATCACTGCAGCAGGTGAGCCGCTTGCTTGTTAATGACGCAGCCTATCAAACAACTCAAACAGCCGAAACCAACATCTGCACCTTGTGTTCAATGTTGCTTTAATGTTACCTGTTCTGTGCTTGTAAAATATCCACCGCGACTTGTAATGTCATTTCAAATTTTTAACCGAGTGAAGTCTGTGCGAGTGAACACATGCACAGACTTCATTTCAAGCCATCGTCCATCCCGATGTTTCAATGTAGTTTTGTAGGCATCGTCCCAACCCTACTGAACAGACTGTTTCTGCTACTCCCTGATAAAAGATACCTGATGCTGACACCTGTTCAGAAAACAAAACAAGAAAACTGGACTCTGATGGGAACTTGTTTTAACAAGCTAGATAAAAGGTAATGCCCTGTCAGTGGCAAATAGCTTTGGTTTAATATTGGATTTGATTACATTAATGTTGAGATTTACAAGAAATATTTTATTGTTACTGTGTAAACAGAGTGTTTGCACACCACATGTTATTACACTTTTGTGTATATAGTTAATGTAAATGCTCTGTATTTGTATAATGCCTTTCTAGTCTTTTCGACGACTCAAAGCGCTTTTACACTACATCTGCATTCACCATTCACTCACAACAGGGGCAATTCAGGGTACTTGCTTCGACATGCAGCCTGGAGGTGGGGATTGAACCGC